CATGGGCTCACTGTTGAATGCTCCAAGAGTCGTTTCTTAAGCTAAGTGTGTCTGGAATTAATATGAAAGGAAGGCAAGGTTTTTGGCATATGTCTGTGAAGCAGTTACAGTGTGTGGATACTGGCTGTGGGGTTTTGCTTTGCTGTGCTGATAGAATGAAGGGGAGGAGTAACTCATGCTTTCTGCCTCCCCATGAAAAAGATGGATTTTTATGTGTTGATAGTCCATTTTTTTGTCCATACAGGTTTTACAGTCCAAGTGGTGTTTTGCCTTTTCCCTTGACATTTATCACTCAAGCTGCAAATACATATTATCCTTTTTTTTTTTTCTTTCTGTTAATCATGAGTTTTTCTGCGTGCAAGTGTATCTGATTGTTGTTGATAAACTCCAGTGCTCAGGATCGCACAATTCTTCTGGAGTTTGAACTCCTGGGGAGGCTGCAGACGTTGGCCTGTCACCCTTCTGTCTTCCCTCAGCCACGTGGGGAAACTCTTTGTCTTTGTTTTCTGGTGGGTTACTTTTCTGTGGCAGTTCTCTGAACTCCTTCTGACTTACCTGTAATGCAGATCTGCACAGATATTCTAGGGACATGGACTGTTTTTGTTGAACCTTCCTTTCACAGAATAAAAGACCTGATTTTCTGCTGCAAAACTGCTTTTTGCCTTTTTTCCCCTGCTGGGTCCCATTGTATTGTGCTTACTGTGGGCTCTTGCATAGTGCCCATTATTATGATGTATATATATTAATATATATAATCTTTTGTATGTTTTTCATATATTTTGTATATTCAAAATCCAATATGACCAGCATGGCCATTGTGTCTTTTTCAGAGGGATAGTTTTATTTTTGTTTTTATAATGCGTGCTTTTATCTCTGAAAACTAAGCTGAACAACTTTATCTAGTACACTCATATTTAACTTATTGTCTATTGTAACCTCAGTTATTTTCAACATTGCTTCTTCCCAGATTTTGCCTTCCCACTGCATGGATTTTTTTGGGATAATTTCCCTTCACTTGTCTTAGCCTGCTTTTCTTCCCAGAATGAATCTCATTTGATTATTTTCAGACTGCATTTCTGTTCCCTCTCAGTCCCTGTGCATTATTTCCTTGTCCCCATTATTTTTGCAGCTCCTCCAAATGTGATATTTCCTGGAGATTTAAGTTAGCATGCTGTCTAGAGTCTCTTCTGGAACATTAAAGAAAATACCAAGTGAAATAGGACCTAATACAGGTCTTTGCAATATTGCACCTTCTTCCCTTGTTATCCTTTGCTTTTATCATGATTTATTTGCAGTCGGTTTTCAAGTCAAGCCACAGTATTCATCTCAAAGTGCAAATCACTATCAAATGTTTACTGAAAATCAAACACACCACATCTGTTCCTTTTCCTTAGACTCCTAGTGCTGTAATACTAGTTGTGGAGAAACAGTGCTGGGAAGAAAACAAGTGGAGGTTATGGATGTGAGGGGGAAAAAGAAGAGGGATGTGTGGGGAGAAGGGGAGTTGCTTTTATCTGTGTGTGTGAGTAACTGGTTGATGACGTTAGGTGTATTTCTGAGGAACTGCTCAAATCCCTGAGTATTCTTGTGTTTCTAGACCATGGTTTTCATACAGTTAAGTGTGTTCTGCACTGTTCTGTTTTGCTTTCCCTGTGGCCTGTGTTGCTGTTGATGCTTGAAGCTGCAGCCAAACTGAAGTCCTGAGGTGGCATCAGCAGCCACCTCCTAGCTAGGCACCTTGGAAAATCCCCCTGCTTGAGCTGTTGCCCAGGTATCTGTGATACAGAAAAAAAGTAACACTTCAGGGTTGTAGTAAAAGGACCTTCCTCACTCTAGAGTACGACAGATAAAAACAGCTGTTTGGGGTAAGAAACAAAGGAACTGAGACAAAATATAAGGAGATGATAGAGACTGTAGGATAAAAGCGAGAGCATGCTTAGCCAAAAACTCTTTCAATGGGGAGTATGAGTTACAGTCCCTGGAGATCAAGCAGAAGGAGTCTCATTCATGGCTTTTTGCTTTGACCTGGCCATAATAAAATTTCGAGTTTCTGGTGACAGTAATGCATGCACTGGGCTGGTTAGAACAATATTTTATACCAGTGATTTAAAGGGATTATTAGTACCCCTTTTCAGCTGGGGCAAGTAGCTGGGAGCAGACAGAAATAAATTTAATCTATTTTTCTAAGAAGACTTCACCTATATTTGTGAGTGTGCTTACCATGTTCTCGTGTTCTTGCCTGCATCCTGTCTTCCACCTGGCTTTTGTTATCTGCTCACTGCCCAGCCTGGACCACCTGCCATGATGGGAAGGATGGCTCGGGGCCATCTAGGTGTTGAGATCTGTGGTGTTGGATCCCTGGCCGAGGGCAGGATGGGTCTAGGGAAGAGTATAGGCTGTGCTTTGTACTGATAAAGAAGTCTGAGTTGGCCTGCAGGTGAAATTTTTTTCTGTCTAATCTTGGGAAAGAGGGGTAGGGGTGTGGGGTTTTTTTGTTTGTGTTTTTGTTGGTTTGTTTGTTTTCAGTACAGCTTGAGCAATTAGCACAAATACTGCTATTGAGCCTCCTGATCTAAGCTTTAAAATTATTCCTAATGTGTTCATTACTGTTCTTGTGAGGCATCAGAGGAATTGAATCTAGCAAGACTCTATGAAGAGGTGTTATAAGCTTATGGTTGTGTTTTCTAATAGCCTTACAAATTTTCATTTAATGCACTGACAGCATTGGGGTAACTGCAGGCTTATATACCTCAGAAATGCCTTCATCATTTTCCTGCTCTGTGTTACATTTTCCACCTGAAAAAATCCCTTTTTCATAGATGGATGCACTAGGAAATAGGGCAAAAGGGACTGCAACCACCTCAGAATTTGCAGTCCCAGGCTTTATGGGGGCACATGGGTCTGTGGGCTGTCTCTGTGCTTTCTCCTCCTCCCCCCCATCCCAGGTACAGACCTAAACTGAAAAGTCCTGACCTAAAGACCAATCCCAGATCTGACATGTGCCATCTCTCACAGTCTGACCTTGTCCTCCTTTCTGAAACAGCTTGGTGCATAGATTTTGACTAAGCAAGAAAGTATGCAGGAATGTCTGTGGTACACAGAGCAACCCTGGGAGTTGCAGGTGTCTGCTGATGCCCCCCTTCATCACAGCTGCACAGGTGGGCCAAGAGCCTCCCAGCTCTGTAGTCCTTGAAATGGGGCTGGCAGTGGTCTCCCACCTCCCTCCTCTGCCCAGTACAGCCAGCAGGTCGGTTCTCTCTCCAGAGTACTGCTGCAACCAAAGGATTTGTTTTTGCTCTGCTTTATTATTTACTACAATGATCAAAGCAGCCACTCCTTGTGATCATAAAGAGAAGCCTTAAAATCTTATTTAAGAGCACAAGTATTTTGAGCTTTGACAGATATGCTTTGAAAACAACACAGATGTGCAGTGTCAGATTTCACTGCTGTATGCAGTGTCTTTGTTTCAAACTATAAATTTGGCTAGTAGAGCTGGGCATGTGTGTTCCCAATACCTTGTCATCTGCAACATGGGAAAAACAAGTTCCTGGGTTCTGAGGGTTTTTTTTCCCCTGAATATACTCCCTTAGAGAGTTTGAAAGGAAAATTATCTTAGCAGAGTGAGCATTCAGCCCTGCGAGACTGCAAACCTATGGGTTATTTTTAACCTAATTACCTCAAATTAAACAAAAGCTTAACAATGTTTTTGCTTGAGTTGAAGGTGAGGCTAAGTAGACTTTATGTGCAGAGCAGCTCCAGCCCACTGCGTGGTTCTTCCATTGCACCATGCGGAATAATGCCCGTGGCAGTGCCCTGTGCCAACGAACGGCGCTCGATTTTCTGAAGGGCCGGCTGTTGTGAGCTGATGTGGGAGGATATGCAGCTCTAGAGCAGTTCACTCCTTTCCCCTTCTCACCCCTCCTGTGGATGTGGTGATCACTTCAGACTGGTGATGTTTTAGATGGAGCACGGTCTCCTTACACTTGCCTGGCAGTGGCTCATTAACCGCGTGTTAATTGAAACTGAAAGTTTGTCAGATGATTCAATTCAGTTACATTCTAAATGGATTCAGTGCAGTAAGCATTACTGCTGTGATGAAAATCTCTGTGGAATTGATCTATGAACTGATTTAAAGGGATTCATTGGCTTCATCAGTGTCTCTCAGAGGTCAGCATCGGGAGAACAGGCATGCTCCCAGCGAAACAAATCCTACTCTTCTCTTTTGCCCAGAACAGTTTTAATTGCCAGTATGTTCCCTTTCCAGGACGTATGTTAGATGGACAAATTTACTCTGGAGAGCTGAGAAGTGAAAAAGAGAAAAATTAAAAGTGTGTTTTGAACTCTGTAATCTAAATGGCTGAAATGTTGAATTCTTACTTCCTATAGATTGAGCAAAACATACGTTAAAAAGAAAAAAAAAATAATTAAAGAAACTAAAAGAAAAATAACTGCTTTAAAATAAAAGACAGAAAATTCAAAATTTACACCCTCTATAACTCATCTTTTATACTTGGCCACTGCAAAAAGTCTCCCTTAAGTGGGCAATTTATTCTGTATGCTGTACCTGCTTATATGGTTGGTTTCCGTGCAGAGCCAATTTTTACTGCTGAGTTATAAACCCTTTGAAAATAGGGGCTTGTAATGGAAGCGCTGACAGACCTTTAACTAGGTCAGTTTTATCTGTCTCCATTATCTTTGCTTTTGTTAAAGCATTAAATGGTTGCAGATTTGTTTATTTTTCTTGCCGTCCCGGAATTTTAACATGGGTATGTTAGTGAATTGTTTCTTCTTCAAAATGTCATGAACATGCAGTATTAGAGAGTTTATCCAGACTCCACAGTCATCTTTAAAAGTAAATTGAACTGTTGTGTCTTATTTCAAGATTTTCTTGCTCATACAGTACATTTGGTCTGTAGCACATCATTACCATAGTAATACCAAAGTTTCCTTTTTCTCCTGCCGTCCTATTCTAATCTTGAATTCTGCTTTGTCTTTTGGGCTCTTTTCTGTGTAAAATGACAGTGATGTTTTTCTGTTTGTCCCATCCAGATGGAAAGCCATACCACTGCAACTTCCCTGAAGAGGAAACGCTGATGATAACATCTCAGTTGGATGAACTCCCAAAGCTGGGAGGCCGCAACGCCAGAGAAAATGAGGCCAGGGAGCCTAAACCAGAGATTCCTGCTCTGGTGTCAGCACTGGAGAGTGTCATCAAGGAACCCTTTTCAAAATACCAAGGTTCTGCAGACATAAAGATGCCAGTATTTCATCACAGCCAAGGGCTTCCTTGTTCCAGTCACATTGCTAGCTTTGCTTCGGGTATGGGCCAGACATCTTCAGACACGGTCATGGACTTGAAAACGTCACTTGAAGTGCAGGCTAGTCGTGCTAGAGAAAATTTGCTAGACTTGCACAGGGAGCATCCTCTGATAGAAAAAGGTGCTGAAGCTCTAGAGGTAGCTCCACTCGATTTGAGTGAAAAATCAACTAGGGATAATTCATGCAATAAATACCTGAATACATCCTTGCAGGCTGCTTTAATTGTCTACCCGTGTCCTTTCTGCAGTCACAAGACCTACTACCCTGAAGTCCTGTGGATGCACAAAAGAATTTTGCACAAAATCAGCTGTAACTTGATGGTGCCCCCGTGGGTTCAACAAAACGGATTCAAGAGTATTAAAAACAACCTGGTCTTTCTGGCGAGGAGTGGGCGCACTGGCCCCCCTCCTGTTCTGGGTGGTAAGGAATGCCAGCCTTTGCCCATCGCCAGGTTTACGCGTACTCAAGTGCCAAGTGCGCTGCCAGGTTCCAAACCCAGCTCTCTCTCTGTCGGGATGGCTGCAAAGTCCGCGAGTACGCATCCGTCAAAGGACAGTCACGCGCTCGGCCACTGCGCTGCACGCGCGTCAGGTCTGGATGGCTACAGACAGCCCAAGTTAAACCATTCCCAGGAGCAGTACAGCATAGCAGCACAACAAAAAAGCAAATACGAAGCAAATTCCAAGCTTATGCAAATGGGAACCTATGGCAGAAGCGTAACGCCTACTCAAACAGTCATAGCCAGGCCTAGCACGCAGCTCGCCAACAGTAAGCAAGCGGAAAAGTACCCGGTTCCCCAGGGAAGTTCTGGTTTTGCCTCTCCAGGTAAGCACTGTGCATCCGACCCGGTGAAGGCCAAATACACCCCCCCGCTGCAGTACCATCCTCTGTGTAAAAGCGAGCAGTACCCTAAACACGAAGAGCCGTCGGTGCCTCAGAGGGAGCCTCACGTGAAGGCTGGAAGTGAGATGAGGACATTGGCAAACTGCACAGCGGTAGCACGAGCCAGTCCGGTGCTGCAGCCTCAGCCTGGCGCCGTGGGAGTTCCTCCGGCTTTACACTCCAGCAAACAGGATCTGGGATCAGATGGGCATGAGAAACATTTGGACATTTTAAATATCTTCAAAACATACATTCCAAAGGACCTTGCTTCACTGTACCAAACCTGTGGTGCCAACAGCCCCGTCCTAGATCACACAGGTAAGTTTTTCACAAGCTTTTCCATAGCTGAGGATGTAGCTTGTTTGTTCCTTCTTTGTTCAGAGCCATGACATGCTGTTTCCCAGTTTTTTCTCTCTCTGCCTTTAACAGTTAGGATTACAAGTTCACTGTTTTTATCATTGCTGGATAGGCTTGAATAGGTTTGTTTACTGCTCTCTTAACATTGCAGCATCCCCTCTTGTGCACTGTGTGACATTTCTGTCGCAAGTTAAATGTATCTGGTTCCACCTGGAGTACTGCTGTTCCTTTGTCCTCTTGCTTCAAGCAGGCTAGAGTTACACAGATGTGCTGTCACAGGAAGATCCCCCTGATATGCTGGTGCTGGCACACATCATCATCTTTTTGCTTCAGGCAAAATAAACATCCTCTGGGGCTTATCTGTGATGTTATTTTGGAGGTTTTGTTCAATTTTGTCTGCAAACAAGTCTTCCAACAACACAGAGGGATAATCGCTTGTCAGTGTCCTTTGTCTTTCTTGTCAAAAGTCTTTTAAGATCTTCCTTGTCCATATCAAAGGCTACTAGGTATTTTTCAAATGAGTCTTTTGATCTGCTCATATGCTTATAATTAAAAAGAAGTAGAGCTGAAGATGTGCCTGCTAATTCACATAAGCAGAAAAATCAGTTGTGCAAATAGCCAGTTTAAAAGTTCAGGGAGTAAGAAAGGTCAATGTCCATAAAAATAAAATTACACCTGCGTATTTGCATTTGAAACCATACTCCTGATGATCTGCCAGAATTAGTTTGTCTCAGTGGAAACTGAAAATCACACTGATTGATTACACATGAGATGTGTGTGTGTGTCTGTAGGTGAGGAGAATTGGAGCCATAGTTTCACCTCTCACCACTTGTAAACCGTGCTATTTTTTGTACCTTTCTTCTCTTCTTAGAAGTAGTACAAATCAACTCTGCATGAAAAGAACACACATTCCAGGCTGGTGTTCCGGTGTCCTCACTTGATATAATGAGTTCTTTTTTGTTAAAAGCTTGTGTGAAATTGAGCTTTTGCAAGTGATACAAAATCCAGGGCACTTGGAAGCTGGTGGTCTTAAGGACAGCTGTGGTCTAGTGCCCAGAGGGTGTGTGCAAGTTGAGGCAAGGAAGGAGCCCGCAGTGTTAGATCAGGTCTTGGTGGAAGGGCCTTTTGGAGGAGACAGGAAGGCAGAATCTGCCTGACATAGTCATCAGTGAGTTGCAACTTTCAGCCATCTCGTTGTCAGTGTTGCTCAGTCAGTCACTTCAAAAGTGGCGCTGTGTAGGGACCTGCTATTTATTGAGCAGATTGTTTTGCAGGAGCTTAGGGGCTGCATCATGATTGCAACCAACATCAGGCTCCTGGGTTTTACTAAAGAGGCAGAAGAAGACATGCTTACTTTCTAAAACTACAGTTTCAGTGTTCCTTAGGGTTTTTTTGTCCAGCCAGCTTTGTGTTGGCCATCCCAGTGAATTGTTGTCTTAAGTTTCTCCCTGCCCGCTTTCTGCTCTAAGTACCAGTTAATTGTTCCACCCACAACTTGGGGTGCCTTCACATGGGTGCCCTCCTTGATGTTATTTAATAGTACATTGTGCCAGCGTGCTCAGAGAAATCTTACTGGTCCAGTGAGCTCACAGCCATGTTAGGAGGGATAAGAGAAAAACAGTAAAACCTAGGAAACAGAAGATGACTTAGTGAAGGCAAGGACTAGAAAATACACGATGGCTTTAGGAACAAAGTAAAATAGGGGCAGGGTTTTTAAAGAGTTGTCTATTTACCTGCTTTTTAAAAGAGGTGTTTTATTGCCAAAATGTTTTTGCTGGGCAGTGATTTCTAGAGACACTTTAACTGGTGTCCTGTTCTAGGGCAAATTTGTGGGGAAACTTCCAAAGGGGTCCCTCTAGAAAACAGATTCAAGTGGCCTCTCCCCCTACTTTTCCTTGGACAAAAGTGGAAAAAACTGTTTATTTAACAAGCAAAGTATTCACAAGCATAAATAAATGGATAATATTAAACAATAAAACCTCTTGCTGTTCTGGAGAGATGGCAAATTCAGAAAGTCCTTGCCATGGGGTGTAACTCAGCTCACTCAGTCCCTCCTGTATTGGAAGGTGCCGTGTCCTGGTCCCCGGTGGGGCACAGGTGTGAGCTCCTGGTGTTTTCTGGGTTTTCAGTCCAGAGCAGGCTGGCCAGTTCCAAGAAGAAAAGTCACAGTCTGGGGGACTTCTCTGCTCAGCTAGCTAAAAACTAACTAAAAGCAAAGGAGAGCTCTGTGCTGCTGTCTGTCTGTGCTGCAGACACCACAGTCCATCCAGCATAAACAGAATAGACAGTTGGGGATACAAGCATCATAAAGTCATCCTAGGACAACTGGAAGTTACCTAGTGCCCATCTCTGCTTTGAAACTTCTCCTTTCTAAGTGTTTTACAGCAATCAAGTTTTCAGAATTTGAAACCTCTTTTCTTTTAATGTAGCTTGCCTTCGTTTTATATACAAATTCAGGTTGCTGATGTTTCTCCAAACCAATTGGCATGATGGCTGGTTTTCACAGCACTCAAATAAAAAGCTGCTTCAGGCAAAAGGAATGAGATTCTACCAACTGCAAACAGAGGAGGGTAATTGAACTTCATCTGAAATAACATATGGCTCTAGATAGGCTGAGTCCTCTGAGTCAGTATGCATCATCCCATTTAGACTTAATACTGTAGGGGTGAATCATGACATAAAGGACATCCAAAAATCCCACTTAGGTATACTATTTGTCATGTTTTTTTCCCCTCAGTTGAATATTCTCAATAGACTTCATTGGGGTTTTTTGGTATATGATGTCATTTTGGATCACACTACATTATTTTAGTGTGTGGTAGTACAGTGTTCAGCTTCCTTTTGATTGGCTGCATTTGTTTTTGGGATCCTTTCTTCTACATTTGTGTTTGTTCCTGTGTGTCCTTGGAAGACAGTTGTTGTGCGTACTCTTGTGTTACAGCTGCAAACGTGAAGCTTGCTGTGCTTAGGCTAGGTTTGTTCCACACTGCCCAGTCTTCCTAAATGCCTGTAGAGACAGAATCTTACTGTTATATTTAATAGAGATTATTTATTTTATTCATGCAATTTATATTAGGAAAGGGTGTGTTATGGCAGCAGATGCACTCTTTCTTCGGAGCTGCTTTGAGAGCAGCTTTGAGTGTGGATTTCACGCAGTGGTGTTCATTTACCTTACTTTTCAAGCACCTGTAGTAATCCACCCCCTTTTGTTCACCTGGAGGATAACCTGAGTGGTGACTCAGGCACAGGAGTTTTGCCATGTGGCAGGCACGCCCAGGGCTCAAAGCTCTGAGCTATCAAAAGCCTTATGGTGCTCCCTGGGAAATACAACAATGGCAAATTCACCTGGAAACAATCCATTTTTTCCAACTGCTTTTTGAATAACTCCTGTAAACTGAGTGCTAGGGAGGGGTTAGGTGGAAGTCTTAACCCACTCACCCTTGGTGTTTATATATTGGTTTACAAACAGCATCCTCAAGGGTGGGAGCGGTACTTCCATGAAGGCTGTTGGATCAGATTGGTGATGGCTGCTGAGAAAAGTGTGTTTGCCTTCAGCAGAAGGAGATGTGGGTTATAGAGGGATTAAATGTGTTTCCAGAGGTGTCAGAACCGTGGTCTGAGGAACCCAGCTCCCCTGGGCCTCACAAAGCTGCTCTGCCAGTCCCTGCCTGTCCAGCAGTCAGCATGGCACCCCTGCCAAGGCCACGACTGGTTCCTCCACACACTTCCCTCAGCTGTGCTTTCCAGCTTGCAGCTGCAGTTCTGGGCAGTGAGGGGGAAAATGCTCGTAACAGCTCAGAAATCCTGCTTTAATCTTGACTGCCTTACAATGCAAACCTGTCCTGGTACAGTTCAATAAGGTTCTCATTGATATTCAGAACACTTAAATGATTTTTTAAATTTTATTTTGTTAGGATTGGTTTGTTTAGGGTTTTTTTTGGTTTGTTTTTTTCTTGTCTGTTTGTGGGTTTTTGGTTTTTTTTGGTGTGTGTACACCTGATCGGGATTTTTCCCCAAATCATGATCTTGTATTTGACTGTCAGAAACTTAATTTTGCAAACGAGTGTTCAGGTGCATTATGCAGACTGTGCTGCCATCTGCAGGAGGTGCTATTATAAAAGGAGAAAAGAATCTGTGAGTAGAGGTGTTTGGAGTTACTTGTTTTGCAGCAAGATATTTTTTTGCAGTATGTGGTCTGGGGAAAACCATCCCAGGATGCATAGTGTCATACCAACAGAGTAGATGGCAGCTGTCTTCTTTCTTCTCCATTCATTTTCAGATGCAGCATCCATATTTTGGATGAATCTTGTGGCATCCTGCAATAGATTTTTCAGTCGTCTGGAGGTTTTTGTTGCCACTTTTTTGGTCACAATTTTTTTTTTTTTTCTAAATGCTGTAACTAGGGAGGGAGTATATGAATGAAAAGCTGAAACTTCACTGCCATTGACATCCCTCTCAGAATCTTTTCTTTCAAAGAGGGTGTTCTACCAAAATAGAAAAGAGGATGTTCAAACATTTTTTTTTAATAATAAAAAAGCCCAATAAAAGTCAAATGTGTCTTTTTTGATCAGCAGCAAAAAGACAAAGACCAGCCCTTTAAGTCAGATGCTGTAAACTGACCTTTGGAGAAAAAGGAGAGGTTTGAGCGGTTTTCCACAAATGCTAATGGCCTAGAAAACATGTTTACCCAGGGCTGGGGGAAGGCTGCTGTGCTGCTACCAGCTCAAAATGTCCGGAATGACACTTTCATTCACAGATGTCTTTCGTCTGTGCCTCAGAGGTCCGGGGTCAAAGCAGCACCGGCAGGCAGGTAGGCAGGGGCGAAAGGTTTGATCAGTCTGCGATGGCTCCGCTCGCTCTGCATTTGTCTCTAAGGTATTGCCGCCTGGGGGGGACAGTCGGGCTCTGGTCCTACTCACTTCCTATTATCCATGTGACTTGTCTCAGCCACGCTGGAGTCACTTTGATTTGCCTGATGTACTGCTTGACAAAGCTGGGTGATGGCTGAGAAGTGGATCCAGCTGCTCTGAAAAGCGCACACCTGACATGCCAGTCCTGGTGCGGGCACATCACGGGGAGCATTTTTTAATTCAATGTAATTTATGCATTCTTGCAGTCCTGTGTGTGCCTGGCCTGTCAGCCAGTGCCTAGATGAAGGCTGACAGTTGTCATCCAGGGCCTGAAGGTAGCCTCACATAATGACACATTAGACATACTAATGATGTTTTCTTCTGGCATAATGTTTTCTTCTCAACTTTCCTCTCTCCTCTCCCCCCCCACCCCAC